AGATTTGTTTGTTTTAAACACCGTAATAAGAGCTACTTTTTTGTTTTCGTTTGGTTCTGGTTTTGTTTCCTCCTGTGGAAGAACTCCCAAAAGGAAACAACTCCAAAAACTTTTCAACGGCAGGACCGACTGGTGTTGGTCTCCCTTTGTGAGTCCTTCTCAAGTTCCCTCCACTGAGGTCGCATTCAGTTCAGGCTTTCTGGGTATTTAGGAAGGCTTCTTGTCCAGACCAAGGAGGAGAAAAAACACTCCATAACTGCTGTCATTCTTGAATGGCTGCAATGGCAGTAGAAACAAGTGTTTCACCTGCTGGTACAGGTTGCTTTTACTTCACAGCTTTCCCTCCTGCCAGAGGGCTGAATTTGCCATACTGAGTCTGGAGGAGCAGCTAATATTTTGACTCCTGAAAGAGCCCGGGGGCCAGGAATGTACTTTTGGCAGACCTGTGAGCCACGTGCTTCCTAGAGAAGGTGTGTTTCCACAGTTGCCAACTGAGGATAGAATGAAATTACAACCTTCGCAATCACGAGTTTGAAGAAGTTCCCAAGGTTTCCTCCCTTCCACTCACTGGTTTCAACCCCACGTGCCAGTTTGGCACTGAATGGGTTGTCCTGTGAAGGAAGACCGTTCCTTTGGAGTAAATAGCATCCCAGCTAAGTTTGTTACAGAGATTTGTCCCTTCCAAGATACCCGCCTTTACGGCTGCAAGTTGTCCAGCTGCTGGAGATGCTCCTCCCGAAAGTAAATGATATGGGGAGGGGCTTGGTGAGAGGAGCATCCCTGTACTGGGAGCTGCTGGAGAAGATAGGAGCTGGAGGGAAGAGAAATTTCTTCTCCCATTACCAGCTGTGCATCTAACCCTGCCCTACTGCTGAATTGGTTTGTTTTTACAGATGAGGGTAACCGTGGGTTATCCACATGTGTGAAAACACAGTGTTTGGTATTGGAATGGATGGAGGGGGTGAGGACGTTCACGGATTTGACAGAGTTGGAAGGACTTGTAGAGATCATCTAGTCCAACTCCCCTGCTAAAGCAGGATTGCCCAGAGCACATTACTCAGGATGTTTCTTATCATTATATCCAGCTGGCCTGTTTCAAGTGTGGGAGATCCACATCTATACTGGATCTACAATTAAGATATCAGAGCATTTTTCTTTAAGTTCTTTTAACTGCATTATACTGCTATGAAGTTAAACATTACATAGCTACATAAACGCAGTTGGACTCGATGATCTTAAAGATCTTTTCCAACATAAATGATTCTGTGAATCTGTGATATACAGACTGATTTGCTGCATAGAAGTAAAAATAAAATAGTATTATTTATACTTTATTCAAAAGGAGGGATTTCTTGGTTGTGATTGTTTCACCTGCAAGAGGTTCAGGAATGTTTATAAGTTGTAGAGGATTAGTGATTTGCAGAAACAGATAACAAGGAAAATGCTGTAGCTTAACTGGTACACTTCAGATTTAATTTGTTCATCTATACTTACAAAAAGAAACCAGATAGTTATTTTATGCTCTTTCTCTTCATTACGACCCATTTATTGTATCAAGCAGAATTTCACTATTCAAACATTTCTAATAGGTGGAACAATGCACTCTGTCACATTATCACTCTATCGCATGCACTCTGTCTACTGAAAGGTACACAACGTTAGGAAGAAGATCTGTTCTCACATTCATTAGCATAGATAATTCTTGTTGTTGTTAATAGAAAATATACCCATAAAGATTAGGGAGAAACTCCCTCACAGTTTGAATGCAAAAAACTTTCTCAGTGCTATCAGAGGCAGCTTTCCTATCAACGAAATAATCCGACTGGTCTTTTTAGATGTACTGCTTATTAAACAGTATTTGCTCTCAAATTTGAAAACAAGGTTACTTTTGATAGTACAAGCCATCAATAACTACCAAAACATTTTCCAGTTAATGCCTCTCATCATCTTACTCTGAAGTACTGCAATTTGTTGCAATTTTTCAAACAGGGAAACAGAGGCACAGGAATGCTATTGATTTTGACATGATCAGAGAGCAAAGAATGGAAGATTTGGCTATACAGAATTTGTACCTTCCATTCCCTAAACAATGCTTCCATTTTATCCTTAAAATACAACTTAAATGCTTTTCAATAAAATGCAAGACATTTAAATGGGATTTTTCTAAATGAACTTACCAGTCCATCTTCACCTGGTCCTGGGAAAGTTACAGCAAGATCTCGTCCATTCTCATCAAAAGCTTTTATTTCGATGCCTAAATTGGATTCAGGCTGTTTGAGCCAATTTTGCAACACTGTCTTCACATCAATACTCTGCCAAATACCAGTGCCTGGGTTCATGTCAAGTTTCAAAGATCGAATTCCAGTGTATCTTGTACCGTCTTTCATGGGTTTAATAAGTCTCAGGATCTGCACAAACACCGTTGTAGGTTTTTGGACTTGCCTCAAGTATATCCACAATTGTGCCTTTACTACTTTGTTATATTGTATTTTAGAGCTAAACTTAAAGAAGCAACATTTTGGTTTTCCCTCCATTTGTACAAGAAAATCAGCTATAAATGAATGGAAAGAACAGATTACTGGACAGGGAACAAAAAGAAATATGCATATATAAACCCGATTATTTTTTTTTTTTCAGACTGTGTAGGAAGACTTACAATAGGCTATAAACAGTACCAGTAACAAAGTGAATTTAACATAGTTCATTTTCTGTGCTTTATGCTCTAAGCAAATGTAATGGATGTAAACAAAATCATTATACTATCACCTAAAAGTAACATCATGTGAAAAGGAACCGATGATTGTTTTGTAAACGGGGTAAAATGAGGTTTGGCTAATCATTTTCTAAGTAATTCTAGTTGCTGCTCTTGTAGGCTTGTGTAGGCTAAGGGGAGCAGAGGTGTGCTCAGGCTGAAGCTCAGAAATGATGGGCAATCAGAAGAAGATGCACGCTGTGGGGGACCTTTGCAGTCCTCAGTGTGCTCAGGGCTCTGCCCAGTGGTACCAGTGCTGTGGGCTGACCTGTACAGCTGCAAAATAGCCTCTTTTCCAAAGAAAAACTACCTGGGGAGGGGGCACAGCCTGTCCGACTTCACAGTGAGTACTGCCAACTCACTCTGGGCAGTTATCTCCTGATTAAAAGTTATCTCCTTGAAAAAGCATGCAGAATAGCAACTTGGCATAATCTGACTCAACATGGATGTGGTGATCCAGCTATTTCTAATTTACTAAATAGCCTTAGTGGCACCACATCGTACAAAAAGAGGCAGCCATTGGCAAAGTACCTGACCATTTTAATTTCTTTTCTCACTGGAAAAACAAATCATTAAAAGAGTATCGATCTAAGGATCATTTTGTTTTCTTCTCATTGGAACAATATTATAGGAAAGTCACGTGGAGTGCTGCGTTCCTCCTTCCTGCAGGCTACGATGCAGCTGTCATACCTACTCATGGCAATATCCTCCCATGCCAGGATAAAATGGGTAATACTAATCTTAAATGGTGCAGGGCTTTGACATTCATAAATCTCACCACTTAAGATACCTGTCTCTTTAGTGCGTCTAAAATAGTTCAAGGGCTTTTTATAAAAAGTAGGAAACGAACTTGGAGCGACAAAGTACAACAACTTTTCTTCAGTCATTGCAATTTATATAGCAGTTTAATTAAAAATAGTTAAAAAGCCTTGGACGCAGTAGGCTGGAATAAAACTGCTGGCAGACCCTCAGTTTTGTGATAAGGCTGCAGTAATATATTGCTATTAAGTGCCCATTCATTTAATACATTAAAAAAATTCACAGATAAAGCTACTTTTTCATCAATGCTTACATTTTTAGCTGGCCAGAGCAGCTGATATATTATTCTAGTATGTGTATTGCAATGACATCTGTAACTTCTAACATGCCTTGTATGTCCTGTCATCTTTTTCCCTTTTGACATCATATTCGTAAGTGTTATTTAAAAAACCAGCTGCCATAGCCAAATACTTTAGCTGATGAAGAACATAAGATACTATAGTATTAGCCATGCAAAAGATACTTGATAGGAGCCATAGCAGATGTTTAGCACTCAGAAGATAACTCAGAATCTGCTCATTCAGTAAATGCCTTCATTCTTCCTTGGCACGACTACTGGAGCTGATTGCTGTAGCATGGACATTTTAACATTTAAATCCGTTACACACATATTTGCTTTAAATATATAGTTTTAACCGGGAGGTAGGTGGTGCTAGTTTGTGGGATCAGCAAAGAAGCAGGAATTTAACTCTCTACTTGCACTTGCTGTAACGTGTTGCATTTAGGCAGGTCTAGTGCTCTGAGCTGCATTTCTGCTGATTTCTGTTGCTTCTAAAAACACCGGCCGGTGAAACCTCCCTCAGGAAAAATAGAGTTCTCTCGTTATCTGCGCTCGTGCTTTGTATCTGCGCTAGGAAATGCCCTGCGCGCTGCAGATAACGGAGTCAACTAAACTGCAGATCTCCCTTTGCTCTCTCAGGCAGTGGGCAAATCCTAAGTGCTAGAGGGCATACGCGTTATAGGGAACCGAAAACCGAACAGTAAAACAAAGGATCGCACCACGGTCATCTGAACCTGGCTCGAATTCTTTAGAAATAACGCTCTCCTCCCTCCCCTCTAGCAGACTTCAGCCAGCAGCCTGTTGGGAGAGCCCGAGGAGGAGTTGCGTGGCTTCTACAGCAGGGAGACAACTCTCTCGGAGGAGCGGTGGGAGGTGAAAGCAGCACGGGTTACTTACACTCCGTAGGCATTGTGATAATCGTTTCGGTGGTGGCATGATAGTCATCGTCTTCCAAAGAGCCATCGCTACTGTCGTCTCTCTGGACGTCGTATTGATCAATCAGTTCCTGCAGCGGAGGAGCTTTGGGCAAAAGTTGTTTAATAACATCCCTGCTAATGTTAGGAGCTTGTTCCAGACGCAGTTTGCTGAGGATTTGAATTTTTATGGCTTCTATTCTGGAAGATTTTGTATTCTGTCTCCACGTACAAGCATTGCACAGTCCGTCCTTTTCGGCGTTCTCTGTGGGCTGACTACTGTCATCAAGAGCCACCGGATCGACTGAAATCAGCATGAACAGGTAAATATAAACATAGATCGCTAGCTTTTGCATGATCTCACATTCAGTGCAGCTTTTTTTCCTTTTCTTTTTTCCCCCTTTTTTTTTTTTTTTTCCTTTTCCCCCCTCCCCTTTCCCTTTTCCCTTTAGTACTAAACAGATCCGTGAAAGCAAATGCAATCTGAGAGACAGCTTGCCACACTGGTGTACCTTATATATTCCAAGGGGGCTTTTTATACTCCAACTTTGATTAGGCTCATGTCGTCAAACCCGACGATTGGTTGCTGTCCCAACAATGAATCTGGCTGTCAGAGGGTAAAGCCCTGTTGATCACAAGTCACTAGACAGCGTTCAGTTACAGCCAAGGGTGAACTGATTTATCTGGGTGCTTCGTAGAGGATATGTCTTTGCATATTGAAAGGATATATTTCCAAGTATTGTGGGCAGCAGTACTGAAAGACAGCACTGTCATTCTTAAATATATACCAACCGTGTACTTGTACTATCAATCAAGACAGATGTCTCTCTAAACTTGCTTTAGGCTTCTACCAGGTTTTTTTGACATGAAAATTTGTGCTATTTAAAAGAAAATCCCAGGGGATTCCTGTTAGCAGGCAGGGAAAAAATACTTCAGAAAAGCATTGCAAACAGTGCTAACATATATTGTACAACAACTGAAATATACTGAGCAGTTCTTATTTCAGAAAACCTTAATGGGTTTTCCTGCTAGGTGCTGGATAAAGCAGTAGTAAAGGTTTTGTGCATATATGACTCTATCTAAATGCATATCTTTTCTGTTTGTCCCTTTAGCATACAACAAAATCAATAGAACAAATCCCTTACTGAATTAACAGTCAGTTATGAAAAATTAGTTTGTCCCCTCTTCATACTATCACTCTCTCAGCAGAATCCAGGGCAGTAAATTAAATATTGAGAGATCTTTAGAAGCGAAGGTATTTTTAAGCAACTTCTTTAGCTACTCACAGTAATATTATACAGAAGTAACGAAGCTTGCTTTTTCCATTAGCAGTGAAAGTGTTAAAAGGCTTGAAACATTTAAATCTCTACTGTGAGCATATCTTCTTTTTCCATGTTGTCTTTTATTTCTGTTTAAAATGTCTCTGTGTTATGCCAGTTTAAGTGATACCTTTCTGTGCTTTCTCTTGCTTTCTACTCAGGTATTTGTAAGTTCATTAGCTATATTACAGTTTTACTATGCTTTCTGTGTGAGAGAGATACATCTAGACATGATTTTATACTTACAGGTTATGGCTTATAAAAATCTTACAGCAATGTAGTTCATATTTGATGTGCTCTTAGCAAGAATTATAGAATTCACACTTAGTTGGAGAGGTGGGGATCTGGGGGTTCAGCAGAGGCTGTATATTACAGCAAGAAGAAATCCTGAAATTTGTATATGTTGTGTATATTTGGTATCTGTGTATTACAGCAAACAGAAATCCTGGTATTTCATGCAATATGCCAAAGTTTGCCTGTCTAAGTTAGGACTGAATTGTCAGCATCTCACTGACTTTCTCTTCTTTTTTCCATTCTGAGTATACTTAAAAATGTGACAAACAGGGTGTTTTTTGCATATGTTCATGTAGGAAAAATGTTGGTATATAGAAAAATGTGGGTCAGAACTTCCAAAGGGCTTTTTTCTGCCTGGTCATTCATATTATTGTGTATCACCTCTCCAGGGCATGCAAATTCACTGCATAGCACAGAACTAAGCCTAATATTCAGCTCATGACCGGTGACGTAAATCATGAGTATTCAATTGAAATTGATTTTCCTACTGATTTTCCTGGTGTAAAGTTGATGCGAGCGATAGTTGTGTCACACTCACACATTCCAGGCCTCTGGCTTTAGGGTCAGACCCTGATATTTTGATTTCAGCCAAAATTTGTGTTTAAAGCAAGCAGTTGAACAACTTAGCTCCTGAGCATTTGCTTTTTATACCAGTGCAGCTACTCCCAACATGTGATAACATAAATGGGCTCATGGTTCACTGGAGCCATGAAGAAGTCAGGATAGATCTGAATTTGCAGTGGAAACTGCCTGCCCTGTCTATAACATATTTTAAACAGATTCTTGGTGCATTTCAAGTGTTGGAAATGTATTTTGATGGAAGATGCATAGGATAATTTGCAGTGAGAACCTGTTTGAAAAGCAGTGATCCTGTTGGTGAATATTTGAATAGTTCAGGTTGGGTTTTTTTAATTTGTTTTTTTTTACGACAGTGAATTTCATATTAAAACTATTTATTTTTATTTTTATTTTAAATCAGATGATTTAACCAGTTGGGTAGAAAATGGAATCTACCTGCAAGTGACAGGTGACAGGTTTCACACCAGAAGCAGTTTTAAAGAGAACAATGATCCATCAATAAACAGGTGGAAATGACGATGCGGTCATTGGTATGAGAGTAATTAAACTCTCTGGCAGAGTGTGGCTGTCAGGCACTCACGTTGGAGAGGGGACAGGAGAGGTGCTCTGCCAAGCGATGCCCCCAGCACCGAGACTTCTCTCCGAATGTGCTCTGCAGCACCTTGCTCCCTGCTCCGTGGCCACACTGATGCCTGGCCTACTCCTTCTCATTCAGGGTCTTCCCACTTGGGCTGTGGCTCATCATGAGCATGCAGAACTTCAATTGATTTCTCTTCCCCAATCTTCTTCAACAATTCTATTCCCCTTTAGCTTTGATTATGGCTGCAGGACCAAAGTCCTCTCTTGTACACCTGAAACCCCTGTGAGCTCCGAGCAAGAGCTGAGCTTGCTCTCAGCCATCAAGGTGACACGTGGTGGCAAACAGGTCCTACTGAGCACCATGCTTGCTGTTTAGAAGTAGGAGGCAGCAATAGCCGCTGGAGTGGTGACGTAGGGACCACCGACCAAGGATGACAGAAATGCCCCAGAATTCACCACCAGCTGCATGATCAAAAGCAGTATTTTTCCAATATTTCCCTCAGAAAATGCACTTGATATCCCCGTACTCTGACTAACTCCAGGCTGTCAGTAGAACACCTCTCTCTTCATCTTTCTTTGTTGCCGGCTTTTTCTTTTCTATGAGACTGCAAGAATTTGGAAGAGTTTAAACAGTTGCACTTGATCAGGAGCTATTAAAGGATCTAATAATAATAGTAATAATACAATATGCAATTTTTTTTTTCTTTCTGACTTTCATTGTACTGTTTTTGGAGAGTGATGACTCCAAAAGTAGGTGCCAGAGGTGAGAAAAGTGATAAAGTGACCAGGTAAAAATTGTTCCAAAAATCTATTTGGCAAAAAATAATTTAAACAAAAGCCCCCAACGCGTTACCACCAGCAAAACTAAAGAAGAGTTAAAAAAGAAGTGCATATCTTACTGAACTTTATGGTGTTTTAATATTATCTTTGGGATTTGTGTCATTCTACCTGCCGTGCCTGCCAACAGTGAGTAGTATTCCCAAACCTAACTATTCAAAGCTCGTGGCTCAGGCACCTAAAATCAAGCAATGTAAGAATGCTGTTTTCTAAAGAAAAGGAATTGTCTACCTGACCACTTCTCCTCTCCTTTCCCTCTTCCACCAGGAGCTTTTGTACTTGTTGGAAAATCTAAAAATAAAATAAAAAAAAAATAAAAAAAAAAGGCAGGGAAAAAACCCCATACCCAAACCCACCCCCAACAAATTTGACCGATATAGAGGTTTCAAAGAGACTATGTTACTGTGAGTTTTATGGAAAAACAGTGACTCTGTAGAGGAAAAGGAGATTACTAATGCCCTCCCTGAGGAGAAGGCAAACGGAGCCCAACCATTACCCATCCTTTTTGGCAGCCTCTAATTAGCCAATCAGCTTTTGCTGCTTCGTCATTAGTCAGCATGCTGATAGCTCTGGACCATCTACAGTGTGTCATCCCTCGCTGGGCCAGCAACCCAGAAAAGATAGATAGGGAGCAGGATGGGATTTGAGCTTGTTTTGGAGGTGGACCAAGTGGACATGGAAGGGGACCAGGACGTTTCTGAGAAAAGGGAGAGTTACAGGGGTCTGGAGGAGCTGCTCTCGTGGCCAGCAAGGAGAGGGACGTGGGTTATAACCCTGCCAGAAATCAGACGACTTCATCCTGTTGTAGGCTACATTTCCAAACACGTCCTTACAGCCTGCGGGGCCAGAAAGTGACTCTTCTTTTTTTCTGATGTTTAAGTTAAATGGAATAGTTCCAATAATTGATTCACCTCTGAAGGTAGAACCTGAAGAAAAAATCAGGTATTGTGTAATGCACTTAAATCTGTGGTTGCTCTTTACACAGATGTCAAGTCCTACCTCTGAACCAGGTGGCTTGTCTCCTTGGTTTGTCTTATAAGATATAACATTCCCTTTAAGCCATTGTGGAAGATACTCTCTGAGTCACCTTTTCTTTCTCAGTTGTCAGAAGAAATAATTTTGGTTAGAACAGTTCAATTTGAATGGAAGAATTCAGACATATAATTAAATGCAGTGGATTTAAGTGTTTAACTACGAGCCCAACTGCCTTAACTTACCAGGTGCTTGCTCTCAGCCACCTGAATCGCAAGGTAAGTGCATTACCTTGAACCACAAAGCAGATATAGGGCCATGTCTATAAAATACCTGGAAAGAAATCTTGCAGTAACAAAAAGCCTATGAAAACACCATCCCCACCACATGATGTAAAACGAAAGCTGCAGCTACTGTGAGGCAAAAGTAACCACTTCTGAAATTAAACTTATTACCATGAACCGTACATGAAACCTGTAACTAGTATGAACTCTTGCTTTGTAACAAATGCCCTGAAACACTTTATCCTCTGTTAGACATTTATTTTCTTTTTTTTTCCTAGAAAAGCAGTCATACATGCTGACACATGGACGTGTCATTCTTTTGACATACCAAAAAATAAGGAAGTTCATCTTGTTTTCACCAGTTCTGAGTTCTAGGTGTCAGAGAGCATATTTCACTCAGGAGAAGAGCATGCAGGGTGCAGGGTAGGGATGCCCTGGTACAGTGGTGTCTGGGTGAGG